ACACACTGGTAACAGTTCATACTATGGTTTTTGTTAGCTTATGGTTGGTTTACGCCCATGATATGGCAGCGTACCAAACCGGTGTTAGTTAACCGGCATGAATGAGACGTTGTGTCTCGAGAGACAAAAGCAATTCGTGTCTCTTCATGGCGTTGGTGTCTTTCTGTTGTCTCTCTTCACTTGTCTATATAAAAAGATGATCATAGAGGGACAGAGACCAACAATTACGTAACCGAAACTAACAAAGAGAGAAACAGAGAGAGAACAACAAGAGAGATAAGGCTTGGAGACATCAAGAGGAAAGGCACTTGAACTGTGGCAAGAGGAACACTTCCGTTTGTGATATCTTCCCGATCTCTGCATCCATTCTCAGTCGAATCCGTGACAAGTACGTCACCGAACCGACGAAGGTACGATACTCTGTTTTACATTATCGCTTCCGCTAGTAACTCTAACATTGGTAGCAGAGCCAGGTTTCGTTTCTGGTATATATTCGTTCTTAGTAATCATGAATTGAAATCTATCTGTATTAGTTACGCTTATTTATGATGATTCAGAGATAACGTTTATTGCTTAGTAACTTGAAAAACGAAATTTGCTTAAGTTGTTAGAAAACCGTAAACATCGTTTCGTCGATATCTCTCTGTACACACATCGGAATTGAATGATTTAGATCTTTGTGTGTAGATATTGAAATTATCTTTCTATCGGTATAGAAATCGAATTATTTGGTCACGTATTCAGAGAGATATAGGGGTAGAAAGTATTCGCAGAATTACTGTTAAAATGATTGTGTTGTGAAGAAGATGAACAGTAACCGACGCAAGTCTGTTCCTGTTTTGTCTGAAAAAAAACAAACAATATCGCAAGTTTGTTTGTGCGATAAAAGGGATTGATCTCTGTATAACCAGAGACATGTTTTATTTGTTAATCCATGTTAGAAAATACATTGATCAAGTGGGAGTTCTATTGTGTTTAGAACTTAAAATTTTGCAAGTAACAAACTGATTTGCTGTAATGAGATTCTAATGTGAGTGATGATTGGGAACTTAGTGAACTCGATCTTATGTTGTGAATCATGTTATGTCAGATTAGTTTGTATTCGTTGCAAGATTATGTTATGTGTTAAAAGTATGTGAGAAACTAATGTCTCTTGATGTTGTAGCAGGAATGGTGTCTGCTTGTAAGAACATCATTGCTGAGCTTAACCGTGGAGACAAACTGGATGGTGATAATTATGATATATGGTATCGTAAAGTCCAGTACGTCCTCGAGGAGCAAGAAGTAAAAGAGACTCTTTTACATCTCATGGAAGAGCCTGAGCAGGGCAATACTCCTCAACATGTGAGAGATCAAGAGGCATATAATGTCTGGAAAAGAAAGAACAGCATCGCTCGCATCACATTGCTGAGTTGTATGCAAGATGATCTCATGTGTGAGTTTGAAGAGTATGAAACTGCAAAAGGCATGTGGGAGGCCTTGAAAGAAAAGTTTGGTGCTACTTCAGCAACCAAACTTAGGAGACTCAATCAAAGGTTCAGTGACTATAAGAAGCGCCCAAACCTTTCAATGAGACAGCATCTTAGAGTCATGTCGAACATGATTATAGAGTTGAAGAATGCTGGTCAGATCATGTCTAATGAACAGCAAGTCCAAGCGGTTCTCCGTTCATTACCTGAAAGTTGGGACCATATGAGAATGTAGATGACACACAATGTGAATGTCAAAACCTTTGAGGACATATCACGTCATCTTGAGTTAGAGGATGAGCGCTTAGAGGCTGCCAAACCCTTTAACGAGGCCAACTATGCGAATTCAAACTCTGGTTTGAAACGCAAGAGAGGTTACAATGGAAACAAGGCTCCTGATCAACCTGATGCTAAGAGGCAAAAGAAGTATGTCAAGCGTGGAAAACGTGGAGGCAAGAAGGATAAGACCAAGATAAAATGCTACAACTGTGGCTCATTGGGTCACTTTGCTCGTGAATGCACTGAGGCAAAGAAGGTATTATCTTTGGACTCTACTTGCAAATATGCTTATGTTTCTAGTTGTGTAATGCTAACAGAATCTCATCCTTTGTGGATTGAAGACTCTGGAGCAACAGACCACGTAGCTAGAAGTCGAGAAGCATTTGTGGAGTACCGACGGGTGCCCAAAGGTACAAGATGGTTATATGTGGGAAACAACTCCAAGGTTGCGGTACAAGGTATCGGAACCTGTCAGCTACACATGAGTGGCGGGAAAACTCTCATACTGCATGATGTCTTGTATGCTCCTGAAATCCGTCGGGACCTAGTCTCTGTTTTGGCATTACTTAAGTTAGGATTTGTTTTTAACTTCCATAATTTATGTTTACACATTTCTCTAAGGTCTGACTACTTTGGTTCAGGCTATGTATGTGATGGTTTTATTGTACTCGATTGTACTACAAATGTTACTAATAGTAATATTAATGATAGTTTTTCATTTGTCACAAGTTCTACTAATGATGAAACAAATGTGTGGCATTCTAGACTTGGTCATATTGGGGTTGATCGAATGAAAAGATTGGCTAGAGAAGGTCTTCTAGGCCCACTCGCCAGAGTTGATCTAGACACATGTGAATCATGTCTAGCTGGAAAAGCTATAAGAAAACCATTTGGCAAAGCGGCCAGAGCTGAATTTCCATTACATCTAGTACATTCAGACATTTGTGGTCCAATGAATGTGAGGGCAAGGCATGGAGCCTCATATTTCATCACTTTTATAGATGATATCACTCGATTTGGGTATGTATACCTAATTTATCATAAGTCAGAAGCACTAGAGTGCTTTAAAAGATATGTAACCTTGGTTGAAAATCAGTTGGAGAGGACAATCAAGTGTTTGAGAACAGATCGAGGTGGTGAATATCTATCTGAGCAGTTTAAGAGACTGTGTGATGAAAAGGGTATTGCTAGACAGTTAACAACACCCTATACACCACAACAAAATGGTGTAGCATAAAGAAGAAATAGAACTCTTCTTGAAATGGTTAGGTCTATGATGGCGCAAGCTAACCTTCCAATTTCGTATTGGGGGGATGCATTGCTTACTGCAGCCTATATACTTAACCTTGTGCCCTCTAAATCTGTTACTACTACTCCCTATGAGTTATGGATGGGTAGGAAACCTAACCTAACTCATCTAAGAGCTTGGGGATCAGCTGCTTTTGTTCGTGATACTTCACATCCTCATGGAAAATTGGGTCCTAGAGGAAAGAAGTGTATCTTTATAAGATACTCTGAGCAATCTAAAGGATATGTGCTCATTGGCGAACACTCAGATGGAAGTATAACAGAGATTGAATCACGAGATGTTACATTCTTGGAAAATGATTTTCCTAAAAGGGGAGAGATTGATAGAGTACTCCATCTTGAAGAGATTCCTGACCATACTAGTATTCCTCCTACCAACCAATCTGTGGAAGTTAGTGAAGGTTCACATGAACTATCACAACTTAGTGGGAGAGAAACATTGGTTGAATCGCAAGATATTGAGTTGCGAAGAAGTAACCGTGGAAATGTTCCCCGTCGTCGTTTTGAGATAGAAGAGGAAGCTTTCATGGTTGCTCTATATGATGACCTGGAACCCAGATCGGTTCAAGAGGCTCTCTCTTGCCCAAACTCAAATGAATGGAATGATGCAGTAGGAGAAGAACTAGAATCGATGAAAGAAAACCATGTCTGGGACTTGGTTGACCTTCCGCCAGAACGTCGAGCGATCGGAAATAAATGCATTTTTAAGATCAAACGTAAGGCGGACGGATCGATAGATAGGTACAAGGCTCGCTTGGTAGCGAAAGGTTATACCCAACAAGAGGGTATAGACTATGAGGAAACGTTTTCACCTGTGGTGAGGTTTGCCTCTATTCGCCTTATTCTCGCAATCGTTGCCGGATTAGATTTAGAGTTACATCAAATGGATGTTAAGACTGCGTTTCTTAACGGGTAACTAGAAGAAGAGATTTACATGCAGCAACCTACTGGGTTCGTTGTGAAAGGCCAGGAGCACAAAGTTTGTAAACTTATGACCATTAAACAATGGTTATCATCTCATTTTGAGATGAAAGATATGGGAGAAGCTGAATACATACGTGGTGTTAAGATACACCGAGACCGATCAAGGAAACTACTAGCTCTTTCTCAAGAGTCTTACATTCGTACTATCCTTGAAAGGTTTAAGATGCTTGATTGTAACCCCATTGACACTCCAATCGCAAAAGGTGAAGGCCTAAGCCTGAATATGTGCCCTAAGACCGATGATGAGAAAAGAGAGATGAAAGGAGTCCCATACTCAAGCGCTATAGGCAGCTTGATGTATGCTATGATGTGCACTCGGCCGGATCTCTAAAACACCAACCTGAAGACTCGCTAGATATTACACACCAGGAGTGAACAGGGCTCGCTATAGACTCATTGGATACTACACACCAAGAGGGAATAGGGTTCTCCATGGATTTGACACCATAGAGAAGTGATCCAAGAGTTTGAAAGGGGTTTGATGATAAAAACTTGGATAATTTTATTCATGATTTTGAGCCTCTATATATAGAGAATTACAAGCCATTTTCGTCCTAATTAAGAGCCTAACATGCAAAGCTTCTTGGAAAATGAAATTTGACTCAAAACTGCATGTAAGAGAGAGAAATACACATCAATAAATGCTGTCAAGACTTGAACTCGAAAATGAATCTTCTTTTGATAAGTTTTGGGCTTCAAATGAGAGGTTTTCTTCTTGAGATCCAGCCCATAGAGTTGCAAGCCTTGATTAGATAATTTTCTTCACCAACTGACATGATAATCATATCATACTCCCTCTCTTGAAAAAAGATTTGTCCTCAAATCTTGCTCTTCAATGAAACGACTTGAACATAAATAAAGAAGTAGATGAAGAGGTGAGAAGTTGATACAGAATGAATACCAAACTCCAGAGTGTGCTCTGATACCAAATGATGAACTCTTCCCAAGGGGTCGGCACTCTAGAGTTGGTAAAAGGGATAAGCCTTCATTCAACAGGCTGGGAAGCCACGAAGAACAAGGATATGTGGATTGAATGGCTGAACAGAAGCTGCGGAAGGCTCCTGATATACCGGCGGATCGATTCTCTGGATATTACACACCAAAGGGGATCGACAGCTTGCTGGATATGACACACCAACAAGGAATGGAAAGAGATTGATTGAGAGACACCACAAAGATCTGTGAAAGGATCTCTGATAAGTCTTAAACAGGCAGGAACATAGATATGACACACTATGAACATGGAGTTCCAAAAATAACAAGACATCACATCTTGAAGGAGAGAAACTTCACTGATTTTTACTGAAAACAAACTTATTTTTATTCATGATTTTGAGCTCTATTTATAGAGAATTACAAGCCATTTTCGTCCTAATTAAGAGCCTAACATGCAAAGCTTCTTGGAAAATGAAATTTGACTCAAAACTGCATGTAAGAGAGAGAAATACACATCAATAAATGCTGTCAAGACTTGAACTCGAAAATGAATCTTCTCTTGATAAGTTTTGGGCTTCAAATGAGAGGTTTTCTTCTTGAGATCCAGCCCATAGAGTTGCAAGCCTTGATTAGATAATTTTCTTCACCAACTGACATGATAATTTTCTTCACCAGCTCTTTATTGAAAATAAACTAAAAGAAGATGAAGAGGTGAGAAAAAGAAAATAGAAAGAAAACCAAACCCAAGAGTGTGCTCTGATACCAAATGATGCGATCTTCCCAAAGATGGGGCACTCTAGAGTTGAGGTTGGATAGATTTGGCTAGAAACCGTGATGATGGAAGGAGTTGAATGGTTGAATGGTTTGATTCAGAGATTGCGGAAGGATCTCTAAAACACCAACCTGAAGACTCGCTAGATATTACACACCAGGAGTGAACAGGGCTCGCTATAGACTCATTGGATACTACACACCAAGAGTGAATAGGGTTCTCCATGGATTTGACACCATAGAGAAGTGATCCAAGAGTTTGAAAGGGGTTTGATGATAAAAACTTGGATAATTTTATTCATGATTTTGAGCCTCTATATATAGAGAATTACAAGCCATTTTCGTCCTAATTAAGAGCCTAACATGCAAAGCTTCTTGGAAAATGAAATTTGACTCAAAACTGCATGTAAGAGAGAGAAATACACATCAATAAACGCTGTCAAGACTTGAACTCGAAAATGAATCTTCTCTTGATAAGTTTTGGGCTTCAAATGAGAGGTTTTTTTCTTGAGATCCAGCCCATAGAGTTGCAAGCCTTGATTAGATAATTTTCTTCACCAACTGACATGATAATCATATCAATTTCCGTTTGTGATCTCTTCCCGATCTCTGCATCCATTCTTAGTCGAATCCGTGACAAGTACGTCACCGAACCGACGAAGGTACGACGATACTCTGTTTTATGTTTACGCTTCCGCTAGTAACTCTAACAGTTTTATAGTCAAGTTTAAGAAGTTTTCAGAAACTGAAATGCGATGTTAGTTATCTCTGATTTGCCGTGAATGAACAAGTGTGAGACTGATGAAAAACAGAATGGGTCATCAATCCTCAAAGCTGCAATATCTGTAACGTTTCAGGAAGTTTGTGTTTCTAAGGAGGCTAACATGAACTAGCTTACTACGAGGTGCTTAAACAGAAATCATGAAGATTAATGCAACTCAAAAGAGCTCAGATTATATCATTTAAGGCAAGGTAATCTGCAGATTTCAGTTTCAAGGATAGAAACAGATTCATCATGTTTCTGAAAGTGGTGTTCAAGCTGCAGAAACACAAATGTTTGAAACAGGGTGTAAGGTTCCTTTCTCTCAACAAAACTATCTCATAGAAGGCTAAAAGAATACTTGAAAGGAGACAGTTGTAGGCGTTGCAGAAACTGAGTCAAAGTTCATCAGTTCCAAGAAAGAGATACATGAATGGATATAGTCTGTGCAGAGGTGGTTGTGGTAAACGAGAAAGAACTCGCCAAAAGAGGTAGGAAGTATATTGGTTTAGCCCAAGTTACTTACAGAAAAAGAGTGGATTTTCTTGTCATGAGAAACTTCAAAGGAAAACATATCATCGGAGAAGAGAGTGAAGTTTTTTTTGTGATATGGGCTATTGTTAACCTTCTCTCTCAGGCAAGACAAGCCTGGCGTGAAAACAGAGAAGATGAAACCAAAGAGAAATCAAGCAGGAACAAAGACCTTAATGGAGCATCGACTGTACAAACCTCTGTAACAGAACCTGCAACAAAGTTTAGATCATGATTTCGCACAAGAGATATTTTTCAGAATGCAAGAGGTCCACGTCTGAAGTGCTTTGATGGACATGCTTGGAGAAAATATGCAGTAGTTATGGTTTTTTATCTTGTTTGTGCACTCAAGCAGGGGGAGATATATTGGCTTGATGCATTTTGAAATGCATTGATGATTTGGGCGTTGCATTATGCAACTGTGGAGCTGGTCATTGCATAAGAGGTTGCACAAACTTAGAAAACGGGGAAGCTAAGGAGATGATGATAGATGAGAGGAGACATTGTCTAGATTTTGCTTGGCTACCTAGGCAAGTGATTTGATGAGATTTGATGAGATTCAGTAAATAATCGGAGGTATCATGAAGCTGATAAAAGTTTTGAGGATGAGTTCTTATTGCTAAGTTTTGAGGATGAGTTCTTATTGCTCTGTTTCATCAAGAGAAGATCATGATAGTTTGAGTTTTCTGCAGAAACAAAATCTTAGGTATTTGATTTGCAAAGAATTTCTTAATTGGCAAAGGTCTGTGAATCATGTGAAGTGAAGTTATGATTCTGAAGAAAAGAGCCATGAGTTCCTGTAAGAGATGAAAGTCGTGTGATTTCAAATCAGATAAGTTATTGAAAGAAAAGAAAAGAGGGGAAGACAAATCTGTCATATCAACTTCAGAGAAACGTTTGGTGACCCCAAAGTGTTCTGATCAGACCAAAATTTGGTGACGAGCTGCTTGAGACTGTTTTCTGAAGAATCAACGGTGGGATTGCGATTTCAACGGTTATTACGAGATATATTCATGGATCTTTGAGACACGACTACACAGATTATGATATGATCAGGCTGACAAGAAATTGTTTTTGGATGGCGAAACAAAATCATTTTGATTCGTTTATTTGCAAAAACTTTCAGGAATTATGGGGTTAAAGTATGATTAAAGGAGAGGTTGATTGAAGCTTGGAAGAAAGATGAGTATTCTGCTGAAGAAGATGAGCTGTCTGAATCCAAGAATGAGTTGAGATTGTTGCAGGTGACATGCTTTATGGACAACCAGAGAATCTGTGTGTAAGAGAAGGTGTTTTGTAAGAGAAGGTCGTGGATTGAGCTGGAGATCTTGCTGATTGGATATGATGAATTTTCAATATTAGATCAAGAAGTCTGTTGAAGATATTTTGAGACCATGTGCTTGAGGAAACTGGAAAATACAGGCTTAGAGTCTTGACTAAGAAGCTAGTTCTTGATATTTCGTTTGTAACGATACAGAAGAAGGATTGAAGCCTTGAGAATTTACCTCTGTATTCAAAGAAGTAATCAGCGAACGAAGCAGAGTACAGACCAGAGTAAGTTGCATCAAATCAGATCTCTGTTTTAGAGGTTTGACGCCGAAAGCGATCGCCGGAGAAGATGTTCACTGTCATTACGTTTTTGTGGACCGGGATTTTCTTATTGACAGTCGAGAATGTTTTTGAGTAAGTTAGTATGCTCAAAATTTGGTGTTGGGCACGAATTTGAGGTGGACAGTGAAGGAACTATGGACTTTATCTGTCTTTTTGTCCACTCTAGTTGGCGATATACAAAAACCAAGGAAATGATTCACGCTAGGTTCAGAGAAGTTAACAAAACAGCGAGTGCATCAACTCCTGTAACAAAACCTGCAACCAAGAAATTTAAGATTGCTGCAGGAGGCACATTTTGTTGTGAACCAGTGAATCTGGTTAAGGGAGAAGGTGGTAAGTTGAATTAGAGATTGTGCTTGACAAAGGCATGAGGTTACAGTGACATCAAATTGGCAAATTGGTGTGGTAAAGCTCATACATGGAGAACATGTTAGCGGATTTTGGTTCAGCTTAGAGTGATAGAGACTGATTGGATCTTGCATTCCTGGAATACAATCATGTTTTTTTTTCTGCAGTTGCTTCAGAGATATCGAGGACTACAGGGAGATTTGAGAACCAAACGGTAATATGAGCAGAATCTGTTACAAGGAGAAGCTTGATGGACGACATGAGATTTCTATGCAAAATCTGCAGGTTTTCTTTTAAAGACCACAATAGTTGTTAAACTTGTGTTTATTGCTTAATTGGTTGCTATTGGAGGAGGCCATAGAAAAAGTAACGATGGGTGACATCATTGAGGATAAAACAAGGAAAAGTGGTCCGACGTTTGCTCTATGTGACTTACGTTAGGAGTCAAGATGTAATCAGTTGCATGTTTTCTGAAATTCAGAACAAGAAAAATAAGATGCTGCAGGGACTGATCACAGTGGCAGTTATGAGTAAGAAGAAGGTATGCTGCATATGTTAAGTTTGCAGAACGAGATGATCCAGAAGGTTGAAAGCAGATTAACATGGAAACAATGGCAGAAAAGGCTAACCAAAGGAAATGGATCAAAGAGGTATCTGCTGTGTGGTATGGGCTTTAGTAACTTGGTTGCTGGAGTAGACGCAATGATGCTCAGTCAACGCTGCAGTTTAAGATCTCATTGGAGGCTGAAAATACACTTGAAGTGGGACTGGCTGAAGGATTTGCAGAGATTGTTTCAAAGAACACCAGTGAAGAGAGTTCATTGTTACCTTGCTTGGAAGATGGAGCCTTATGTAATTCAGGAGGAATTGAAAGAGAAAACTCATAGTTTCTGGTTACTAAGAGTTATTTGAGGATATCCTTGAACAGCAAGAGAAGTGAATTCAGGCTTGAATGGCGAAGGAGTGAACGTATACAAGAAAGGTTATCATCAAGAGAATTCAGATGTCGGTGTAAAAGTTAGTAAAGCCAAGTGTGATTAACATTTTCTATGAGAGGTTCATGCATCTATGCTACGTATTGAGTTTCGTGGTCAGCCGAAAAAGATCCTTTTGAAGCTAACATCAGCAGAGAACATGAGTTTGCAAAATCAGGCTCAAACTAGAACAAGACAAGTCTCAAGAGAAAGTTATTGAAACGATTTAAGATCGTTGTGATTAATCTGGATTTTTTTTTTTGTGTGGATATGAAGATTGTTAACAGGTAGGCTGCTCAATCAAGGAATGCTGATTTTTATGAGTTCGAAATCTGTGGGAAAGAAACCAAGAAGAGCAACAATTGTTTTCTGCTTTGTATGATCAAGTCCGAAGGGTAGATGAGTTGGTGAATTGGTTCTCTCAAAAGAGGTCTGATGGAACAGAAACTGTAACAAGGTCTAGAACAGAGGCGAACATGGAAACTTAAGCGACGAGGAATTTGCTTTGAGAGAGTGTTTACTTCGTATTTTTTTTAACTTAGTTATGTACTCAAGCAGGGAGACATGAAGTGGAGCTTAACTTATGGGGGAGTTGTACGGTTCTGAAATCTGGGAACGTTTGTGCATTCTTGAAGAATAAGGGCTTGAGTATCAAACTAAGCTAAAAAGGGGGAGAATGAAAGAAGTTGAAACCTCTGAGCTAAGCGGTGCTGCATTCAGAACATGGTGTGTTGTATTCTGGTGGTATCTAAGTCAAGCCGAAAGTAAGTTTCAAAGAGATCTCATAAGTATACCATTAAGAGGGAGTTCATGGATCATCAAGGTATGAGATATTAGTGTCGTAATGACAGTATGCTTGAGTTCTAAAATGCAGTCATCGAGGGGGAGCTTGTAAGTGTAACGCTGACTGATTTAAGAAGATGCTGATACAGGATGAGATATCAGTGATATATTCATTGAATGCTTAAGTTCTAAAACGCAGTCATCAAGAGGGAGATTGTAAGTGTATATGCTGACTGGTTTGAGAAGATACATAAACAGGATGTGCTACAGCTTAAGGCAGTACTTGTTGCAAGTGCTGATGCAGTGTAGAACATGTCATAACATATGAAGATGCAGTTGACTGAAGCACTTAGCGTATCTGTCACGAAGTAGTACAGAGAGTCGTGTTCAGCAAAAGGGCTTAAGGAATCGATCTGATGGGCTGGACATTTGCTTGTAGCTGATGAGGACGAGTCTAGAAGATTCTAGAAGAGTCAAGAGCTGAGTTGGACGAAGATATTAGCAGCTATCAAGCAAGTAGGAATATTTCCTTTTCCTAGAGAAAAATAAGGAAAGAAATATTCTCTTGGAGATTTGGAGTGGTCACCAAGGGAGAAACCTTGTAGGGTTTCAAGGCGTGCCTATTGTGGATAAATAGGGCGTGGAGAGCATTGGATGTGCTTAACCCATACACAACGAAAAGATGCCTTAGCGAAAGGCTTTGGGGTCCTATGAAGATCGCAGCCGTTGAGAGTCTCTAAGATCGTGGATAGATCTAGAACATGGCGGTGTTGCTCCGGTGCTGCCGGATGATAGTCAATCATGCGGGGTTGATATCTATCTTCATAGCTTATCCATCTAGAAAAGAATGGTAGGCATTGTAGTGCTGGATACCATATACAATTGTAATTGTAATCTTGTTCTAGTGGATTTGATCTGGACTAGGTCCCGGGGATGTAGGAAACGAACCTCGATAAAAAACTCTATGTGTTCTTTACCTTTATGTTTGCACATACTCATTACACACTTGAACATATAGAGATAGGCACAAATACGAATTTTCATCGAGAATCGGGCAGCGGTTCTCCTTAGCGTGAGCGTGTGGCTGCTCTTCTCTCTCGCGCAGGTTTTTATCGTGAGGGGAAGAAGGAGGTGCAGCTAGGGTTGGACTCTTATGGGCTTTAGTGGGCCAATGGGCCTTTTCCAATTCTCCTGGGCCCGGGATGTCACAAGAACTGTTGCTCATAACCCACAAATCATATCCTTCTCTCGAATTCGAACAAACCACACCAAGCTTTCCTTCGTAGCTGACCAAATTAACACCACTAGAACTTTGAAAAGCCACAACCACACAAGATAAACTTTTAGAAGCTAGAACCACACGAACGGAAGTTTAAATAGCCGCAACCCCACGGAGCTCTGGTTTAATTGGTTTACTGTTCCGAAAATATGGTTTACTGTTTCCGAATATCGTTTAACCGAACTAAACCTGTTTTGTTCCGATTTCAGACCCGCTTAAAATGATTTTAGACCCAATTTTCTAAACCATTTGTCGCCATCGAACGGGCATAACACGAAAAATTCCCAGATTCACAAATCCACGAAAACCCTAGATTTTGAAATCAAGAGAGAGAGAGTTCGAAATCAGTTTGAAATCTCGAGTGTCTGATAAAGAATTCGAGTTTAGCATGGATTTAGCTCCTCTAGAAGATGGAGAGAGATTGGAATTTAACGAGGAAGAAGTCGAGCAAGAAGAGTTTCAACTCGATCAACTATTGCGCGATTTTCCAAACAAGCCGTCGATTCAGCACAACCAGTTGCGTGAGACTGATGACGAAGCAGAAGGTGATGGCAAAGCTGGAGTTGAAGGTTGATTTGGATCTAAAAGATGGTGACGGGTTCATTGCTGTTTCAGACCGCCATAAGGTAATTTAGCTTCTGTTTTGTATGTTTTTAGATTTTGCACTATCTTCTTGTTTTGTTTTGTAACTAACTTTTACGGTTTTGTTTTGTTTTGTCAGGGATTAGTCAGAGCTATTAAGATTGAGTTACCAAAGATGGAGCATCGTAAGTGTGTAAGACACATCTACGGGAATCTGAAGAAGAAACATGGGAGCAAAAAACAGATGAAGCAACACATATGGAGGCTAGCTTGGAGTTACAATGAAGCCAAGTTTCAGGTGAACTTGGACAGGTTAAGATGCTACAATACATGGGTTTACAATGATGTTATGGCTACAAGTCCGAAGGAGTTGGTGCAGGGCTTTTTACAAGCTAGGCAATTACTGTGAAGACGTTGAAAACAACTCGACAGAGTCTTTTAACAGCTCAATAAACAAGGCCAGAGAGAAGCCATTCATCCCTATGCTTGAAGCAATAGCAAGGCTTGCCATGGCACGTATTGCCGTAAGATCGAGAATATCTCATGAGCATACAGGTAATCACGTAATCCTCATTGTCTTTAATTGATTGTTATTTGTCTCTTATTAGTTTAGTCATAACATAATCCACTTTAATTGTCAGGAAAATGTACACCATATGTGATTGAAAAGCTAGCAAAGGCGCTTGTAGAAAAAAAAGAAAGATGGAGCCAAAAAATGTGTTGTGACTAGAAGTGTTAAAGGGTTCTTTTCTTCAATGTTGAATGGACAAACTCACCGTGTAAGCTTGGAGAATAGGACATGTTCTTGCAGGAAGTGAGACATAACCGGTGTAACATCCGTAAACCGAATTGTCAGCTTGAGGAAGCTGTGTCGAGCAACACAAAGGAAGTGTGTCGGTTGACACAGCGATTTTGAAATCAAACCCGGTTTGATTTGAGTGATCGGTTTAGTAGTTTGGGTTGGAAAACCCTCGTTTTCACGTTTAAGAACCTGCGCAGCCGCCTGGTTTCTTCTTTTGTCGTTTAGCGGAAGGAGAACTTGAGAAGGAGAGAGTTTGGTGAGGCGATTCGTGGTGTTAGTTGATCGATTGAGTACGTTCTTCGCCGATTCGGAGCTTGGGTTCGTGTGTGGTGGCTGCTTCGTGGTGGTTCGTCGTGTTCTTCGTCGTCGTTGCTACAGTTCATCTTCTTCAATCCGGTTTCCCCTCTTTTCAACCTAGAATCGAGGTGAGTGCAAGACTGTGGGTTCGTGATTGCTAGATTCAGGATCTGTATGTGTTTCTGTGGTGATTTCGTGATAATATTGATGTTTGATTTGAGTGTTTTGGTCGATTGCTTGATTCTTGGTTATTCTGTAATTCGGATACTGTTCATAGATCGATCTGTGCGTTTCAGGAATCAGTGTCGAGCGACACAAAGCTTCGACACCAGAAGGTTTGTGTCGAGCGACACAAAGCGTGTGTCGGTCGACACAGACTGGTTAATTCCAGTTTAATTCGATTTGGTCTGGTTTAATTGAATTGATTTAAATGGTTAAATGGTTTAGTCTGGTTATTGGTAAATTAAGATTTTAATTAATTAATGAGAGTTTTAAATAATTAAATGGTTTAAAATAATTATATTAATTTTTTTTTTTTTAAATTGTCATTTTTTCTGGGCCACAACAGGACGGCCCACAGACCCATAATCCTCCCAATGAGGAAATTAACCCCACATGGGGGAAGGTGGAGTCGAACTTCATATGAGATGGATGGAGAGGTATGCTACCACTGGGCCACTTGCTCCTCTCATTAATTATTTTAATTATGAAAAATTGTTATTCAATTGTGGGAATTATTTAATAATTGAGAAATGAAGTTTTTAATCATTAAGAATTATTTAATAATTCGGAAATTGGTATGTACTAATTATCAGAGCTTATAAATATTACTAAATATCTAGTAAATTGCGTAATTGGCCTGTAGGTAGAGTGATTGCCTCACTAAGTATTTATTAAATACTTATGCAACTCCATTCCGATGTGTTGCAGGTAAAAGATTTGTGTGATCGCGGAATCAAGGCTGAAGAGGGGGATGATAGGATGTTTACTGTTTTATTGTTTTGCATTGTTTGACTCACTAGTACCTGGTGTTTAGGTTGCTAGTATTTCTTTTATTATTTATTTGAATTCATTTGTTGAACCTAATTTATTATTATTTATTTATTTAAAGACTTCCGCTGAATTGTTATTTAATCGATTGATTTATTTAATTGATTTATTTATTTATTGTTTGACTCACTAGTACCTAGATATCCTTGGTTATTTCATTTTGGTATCATAGCCTAGACGGTTTTATGACTGTTAGAATTGCTAGGATTAGTATCATCCCCTTCAGCTACAGGAGATTCCGCGGTGAGTTTTTGGTGTTTGTGTTTTTGTGTTTATTGTTTAGTTGCTCATGTTCGGGTCCATACAGTGAGATGGACGGAGCTCCTAGAGGTCGTGGCGCGAGAGGGGGCGGTGCTAGAGGCCGTGGCAGCAGAGCTGGTGGTAGAGCTGGAGGCTGAGCAGGCCGAGGTCGTGGTCGTGGACTTCCGGGGGAGTCGGGAGAGAGTGTTGCGCCGAGTGTGGCGACTGCGTCGGTGACCCAGTCAGTTCCGTTGGAGGGTGATGCCAGTGCGAGTGTTGGTTTGGAAGCGGGGGCTGCTCCGGGTGGGGGTGGCGCTCCGGCTCCGGGTCGTGAAGACTTAGTGGTGGGGTTGCTGACGCAACTATTGACTAGTTTTCCGCCGGTGGTTGCACAGGGGGCTCCAGGAGTACCGCCAGTGGCAGAGGTACAGCATGTTGCTGCAGATTTTGTGCAGCCGGAGGCTGTGGGTGCGGGTGTGTCCCGTTATTTGGAGTTTATGGGCCACATGCAGAGGATTGGTACGCCTTTCTTCGAGGGCAGAGTTGGTCCGGAGGAGGCAGACGTGTGGCGTCAGAGAGTGGAGCGGAACTTTCATTCGATCTGCTGTCCTATGGAGTACTGGGTGGAGTTAGCGGTCCACTCTTTGAGTGGCGATGCTCATTTGTGGTGGCAGGCTGCGGTGGGCCGGAGGACATTTTGGACTTGGGGCGACTTCCTTGTGGAGTTCAACGCCAAGTATTTCCCGAGGCAGGCTCGTGATCGTCTTCAGATGCAGTTTATGGACATCGAGCAGGGTGAGCGTACTGTACGCGAGTATGATGCGGAGTTCAGCCGTCTGTTAATGCATGCTGGCTTTGGCATGGAGGCTGAGCATCAGTTGATGAACAGGTTTCTGGAGGGACTTCGCAAGGATATCCGGACGCTATGCAAAGGTGGTATGAACACTTCGAGGGCGGGTCTGGTAGAGTTGGCCGCGTCGGTCGAGGCAGTTCTGAGTGGGCCATTTGGTCCGATGGCTGTGCCGTCAGCAGTTGCTCCTGCTACCCAGCCTCGGGGTCAGCATCAGCAGCCGTGACAGCAGCAGCATAAGCGTAGAGGAGGTTCGGGTTTCAGTTCTGGTTCTGGCAGGGGCCGTTTTGCCTACGCAGGGTCACAAGAGGGGCCGAGAGGAGTTTTCTGGTGCTAGTCAGTTTCGTCGTGGTTCGTGTTTTGGGTGTGGGAGCACGGAGCATCGTGTTTCGAGTTGTCCCAAGAGGGAGTCAGCACCGAGGGTGTGTTACTACTACAAGGAGCCTGGGCATATCAAGCCCATGTGTCCTAAGTTGCGGAGTATGTCGGTGGCTTCAGTTCAGCCTGTAGCGGCTCAGCCAGTGAGTCGGATCGCAGCAGTGCAGCCGTTGGGTCATATTGCACCGGCGCCGCGGGGTTACTCTTCAGTGGAGACTGGCGGGACTAGTCAGACCGAGCAGATCACAGGTAAATCTTCGACTCAGGCTTTATAAATTCTTAGTATAGAATTTGTGGTTGTATTATTGTATGTTAGTCATTTTTATCTTTGATAAGTTTTGTAGAGGTTCTCAACGCAATTGAATGTGTAGGGACCTTGTTAGTGGGTGGTTTTGAGTCCCACGTTATATTTGACTCTGGAGCATCGAATTGCTTCATTACATCCGTAAACCGAATTGTCAGCTTGAGGAAGCTGTGTCGAGCAACACAAAGGAAGTGTGTCGGTCGACACAGCGATTTTGAAATCAAACCCGGTTTGATTTGAGTGACCGGTTTAGTGGTTTGGGTTGAAAAACCCTCATTTCACGTTTAAGAACCTGCGCAGCCGCCTGGTTTCTTCTTTTTCGTTTAGCGGAAGAAGAACTTGAGAAGAAGAGAGTTTGGTGAAGCGATTTGTGGTGTTAGTCGATCGATTGAGTCCGTTCTTCGCCGATTTGGAGCTTGGGTTCGTGTGTGGTGGCTGCTGCGCGGTGGTTCGTCGTGTTCTTCGTCGTCGTTGCTACAGTTCATCTTCTTCAATCCGGTTTCCCCTCTTTTCAACCTAGAATCGAGGTGAGTGCATGACTGTAGGTCCGTTATTGCTATATTCAGGATCTGTATGTGTTTCCGTGGTGATTTCGTGATAATATTGATGTTTGATTTGAGTGTTTTGGTCGATTGCTTGATTCTTGTGTTATTCTGTAATTCGGATACTGTTCATATATCAATCTACAAGGTGGTTGGCCCACGCCTTGCGTGGGCAAGAATCATTTTAAAAATAAAACTTATCATCTAAAACAAAATTATTCATAAATTTAAAGTTATGATTAAATTGAAACTTAACCGATTTAATTATTTCTGACGACTATTAAGCCAAAACAATATTTTAAAAATTCATTAAAAAAGACGGAGAGAACACCAAATTAAGCAAAAAAAAATATATTAAAATTAAAAAGAGTTGTCTATTATATGTTTATATGATGTACTGTATGAATTGGAGGGGAGGGGTGTTTATTGTAGGGTTAGGGTTTAGAAGATAGGGTTTATATTGGTGGGTGTAGGGTTTAGTTTTTTTGGTTTTTTTTTTGTTTTAAATCCTTAATTCTTAAAACATTTAAAGGATAAAAAGGAAATCGCAAAACAACTAAATTGTTATACTACAACAACAATTACAACAAATGACGCAAAGATAAAATTTAATTAAAATTAAAAAGAGTTGTCTATTATCTGTTTATGGTATACTCTATGAATTGGGGGGGGTGTTTATTGTAGGGTTAGGGTTTAGACGTAGGGTTTATATTGGCGGGTGTAGGGTTTAGTTTTTTTGTGTGTTTTAAAAATCCTTAGTTCTTGAAAACAAAGCGTGTGTCGGTCGACATAGACCGGTTAATTCTGGTTTAAATCGATTTGGTCTAGTTTAATTAAATTGATTTAAATGGTTAAATAGTTTAATCTGGTTATTGGTAAATTCGGATTTTAATTAATTAATGGGAGTTTTAATTAATTAAATGGTTTAAAATAATTATATTAATTATTTTAATTATGGAAAATTATTATTCAATTATTGAAATTATTTAATAATTGAGAAATAAAGTTTTTAATCATGAAGAATTATTTAATAATTCGGAAATTGATATTTAATAATCATCGGAGCTTAGAAATATTACTAAATATCTAGTAAATTGCGTAATTGGCCTGTAGGCAGAGTGATTGTCTCACTAAGTATTTATTAAATACTTATGCAACTCCATTCCAATGTGTTGCAGGTAAAAGATTTGTGTGATCGCTGAATCAAGGCTGAAGAGGGGGATGATAAGATGTTTACTGTTTTATTGTTTTGCATTGTATGATTCACTAGTACATGGTGTTTAGGTTGCTAGTTTTTCTTTTATTATTTATTTGAATTCATTTGTTGAACCTGATTTATTATTTATTTATTTATTTAAAGACTTCCGCTGAATTGTTATTTAATTGATTTATTTATATAAAAAAAAATGGTTGGTTGTTTCAACCGGAATACCATGTAAGCATGCTCATGGTGTGATGTTGAAGCTGAAGATTGACCCTGAAGACTATGTCTGTATATGGTTCCGGACACCTATGTGGAGAAGAAACTACACTGACGGACTTATTCCAGTTAGGGGTTCGAGGTTTTGGCCAGCAATGGTCCGGATGTACATGTACCTCCTCCCAAAGAGAAACCAGCTGAAGAAGAAACCGGGACTGAAGCAGCAACAGAACCAGGAAAAGAAGCAGGGAAGAAGAAGCTCACCAAGGCTGACAAGACAAGAAAAAAAGGTGTTAATGAGTCTCCAACTAAGAAGCAACGAAAGGAGAAGCAAAGGATTATGCATTGTGGAGTTTGTGGTGAGGCTAATCACAACGCTAGGCATCACAAGGCGAATTCTTCACAGGTTTGTCTTCTCTTGTTGCTGTTTAAAGTCTTTTGTTCCTTACAAACATGTTTTTTTAGACTTACATGGAGATCTCTATTTTGCTTTGTAGACATTGTTGTTGGAGGGTCCTCAAAGTCACGTTGAATCCTCTCAAGGAACCCTTACTCAAGATTGAATGATTCTTTTGGTCTTTGTAAGGACATCTAATTTTGGTTTTGACTTAGATGTGTCGGATTTGTAATGACATCTACACTTGGTTTTGGTTTTGGATTTAGATGTCTCGGATATGTAGGATTATGTGACATTGGCTTTTGGTTTTCTTTTTAAGATCTTGGATTATGTTAAGCTTTTGGACATCTTGTTGTTTACTCATGTTAATGTTATGTTAAGCTTTTGGAAATGTTATTGTTAGTATTGCGCACAAAACATAAGCAACAATGCTTGTTAAAATAGACAAATTCAAAGCATTAATTCAAAGAATACATATCAAGTCCACAATCTTCTTAACAACCACAAATACTTTCAATGCATACAAGATCATACTTCTAAAAACTTTTCAACCTAATTGCTTACTAAACCCAACCATCACCATACACAAAGCAATTACACCAATCATCATTTTCTTTGAAGTAGATGATGCTTCAATCAATGTCTCTTCTACTCTCTCAAATATCTCCTTCTCAAGCTTCATTTGCACATTCTCAAACACAATCCTCTCAAACTCTGTCCTCTCTGCTGCAATTGCTTCAAGCTTTTCCTCAAGTCTTACATTTTTTGTTTTCAATGCTCTATCTCCTCTAAGTGAGCCTCATCAACCCACTTGAACATGTGGTTATCATTCGCAAGCTACATCCATTGACAATAATACTTATCACAATCAACATTCAATAAAACAATGAATCAGAAGCAAGAATTATGGTGGATTTACCTTCCTAGCCACAGCATAGCCACAACGATAGTAACGCCGGTAAGGATTGTTGTTGGATTTGGAAATCAATTCCATGATTTGTTCCCCACACGGACAGGTTTTTGGCACCCCATAAAATCTGCCTCTTGAACGATGGATTGACGATCCACTAGAAGCTCCAGAGGCGTTACTCATGGCTTAAGATCTGCAGGTAAACCCAAAGACAAAAGAAATTAAGAACAAAGAAGAAGAACTCGACTATAAGAAAAGGGGGAAGAAGATGAGATCCGAAATCGATATCCTAACCCTAAACAACTGAGAAGATTATCCGAAATCAACACACTAACAGTTAATTTCAGAAATTAGTGTTCAGCAGGATCGATTCGAGATTTTTTGCAAAATTCGATTTTAGGGTTCTTCAGTTTCTGGGTTTCTGATTTGGGATTTTTCGACCGTTGTTGAGTCGGGTTATAACACGACAGATTTTTCGACCGTTGTTGAGTCGGGTTAAAACGTGGACTAAAGGGTCTGATTTTTTGAGATTCGGGTTTCTGTTTGGTTTACTACCGGTTTTGGATGGTTTCATATCCGGGTTCAGACATTAAACCATCGCACTTGGGTTCGTGTGGTTCTGGCTTCTCAAAGTTTATCTCATGTGGTTGTGGCTTCTTAAAGTTTATGTCGTGTGGTTGTGGAACGAGGTCATACTTTGGGCTGCATCTGGTGCGACCCCTACTTCTGGTGGGGAAATAGGTCATCATCCCTCTTTACTTTTCCTCATTTTCCTCTTATGTTTCTTCGTCCTCACAGTTTCTTATTCAGTTATTTGGTTTGCTTTTTCATCTTTGTTCATCTTTCATTTATTTTCTGTCTTTGTTCTTTGATATATTTGTCTTCACTTTTTTTTTATGTTCCTTCTTATTCTTTGTACTTATTGTTCTTCTGTTTCTTTTATGGTTAGTTCAGACGATCGAAGTTGCTAGAGTTTTGCTATATTTTTGTTTGTTAGCTTTTTTTTCTTCATTATTCTTTGCTGTAATTGTTTTACGATTGTATCCCTTATAAAAATGATTTTACTGTAATCCTCTTTAATTTAATCTTATGTAGGATAAAATTTTCACTATGTGATACACATATTCACACATATAAAGAGTAATGTCTAAGAATAATATAAATAATTCAATTTACGCGATCATAAAGATATAGTTAAACATAGCTTTCAGTTTCATATTCTTTGGATTCATCTTTTTATTTGGTTTCCTAGTTTAGCCTTATATTATGTGTTTTTTCCGTTATTTGCTATCTTCATCTTTGCTAGCCTTGGTTCTTATTCTTCTATTTCTTCTATGATTAATTCTTTCCATCGAAAATACTAGGGGCGTGATTGGTAAGTGCTCTGGGTGCTCTGCGGAGCAATAATTATTTCTAGAGCACTAGTGTGAAACCAATCATGCTTTGATTTCATGTTTTAAGTTTAAAGTTATAATTTTAAATATGGAAATATTTTGGCTCTGCAGAGCAGATTTTCCAGAGAACAAATTTAAGGGCTCTGAGAATTCTCTCTCTTCTCATTCCTTAGTCTCACTCTCTATATTCCTTTTTTAATGTTTCGTTCCTAAATATATATCTTTTAATTATTTTTAATGCTACATTTATGGTATTTTATAAGAAATTATTTATAATAAAATTTTCTACAGCACTATAATATAATCTACAGCCACATAAAAAAAATCTACAGCATAAACTCTACAGCAAAAAATCTAAAGCTACAGACACAACCAGCTTCCCCTTCTTCTATGTAGTGGTTGTTCTTCACAGCTATCTTTTGTAAATATGTTTGGTGTAAACCTCTTTAATTTTGGTAGAATAAATTTTCACTATCTCATACACCTAGCTAAACCTAAAAAAAAAAATGTATGTCTGAACAAATTTAAGCTCGAAAAGCTAATATTATTGTAAATAAGCTAATATTAATATTTAGATTAAATTTCTAGGGGTATAAAAATTATTTGAAGATAAGCTAATCGACGAACAACATATTCTTTGTTTCCTTATTTACTCTTGTTTCTATATTTTTTAATTTTCTTTTAGGGTTTTGTGAAAAGAACAACTAAAATTGTTTTTGCAAGCTAAACCCTCAATTATATTACAACAACAATCCATAGAAAGCTTAGTACGACAGAGTTGGCTTTAAATCTTCACACGATTCTTCTTGCTCGCTTTTTAAGAGTTAGGTAGAATCAGATTTAGCAAAACTTTTTTTGTTTTTTTTTTGGGGTGCAAATGTGAAGATGATTTAGCAAAACTTATTACTTGAAACACGCTGGTTCAAACTCAAAGCATCCTTCAAAGCAAAAGCAAAGTAGGTTTTGAAAAAATAAACCTACTTATTATTTTGTTTGTCAATGCCTTAAGCTCATCTATGTCTAAAGCCTGCTCCATCGTCGAAGCAGTAGCAGAGCTTAACTCAACTACGAAGACGCAAAACCAAATAAAACCGAGTTCAACAGTTTTAAATCCACAGCAGCGAAGAAAGCGGAACTAATGGAGCCTAGCTTTGAGAAGTATGTGAATGTGAATGTGACTGTTAAGAGAGATGGTTCTTCGTTGGAGGACATGGAACACCAAGAATCTTCAGGAAGCAACAGTATCACAGGAAGTAGTTTCGTCCTGCAACTGACTCGTGATCGGAGTCCATTTGGTGGTCTAGAGTTTGATCATCTTCATCTCCATCTTCATCCTTTTTTTTTTTTGTCATCGAACCCCATGTATTACTATATTATATCGAAGAGGGAAGCTTAATGAGCTAACCAGTTCGGTACCAAAGTGTTTACATAGGAAAAATTGGAACCTCGTGCTCGTGCTCCTTTCGAGAGACAATCGGCATGGACATTATAAGTGCGTGGAATAAAAGAGATGGAAAAAGATTCAAAAAGGGAGTGAACGTCGTGAAAAGCTTCTAATTCTGTTGCCATGATTGGCCAATTATCTTCATCCTCCAGGAGATGGATTAGTTGTAGGCAGTCTGTTTCAAACCGAAAAGAGGCGTGACCTGATGCGGAGTCAGGTTTTACCAAACTCCTAGACCTCTGCAAGTGCACAGATCGCGGAAGTATGGGTATCGAACACAAGGACTGGCTATTGAGTACACTTTGAAACTATGGATTTTGGATCAAGCTAAAACAAAAGTATGATTGAGGTTGTAATGGTGAACCGAACTAGCAAGTATAACGAGGTTGTAAGCAATAAAGGAAAAGCGCTAGGTCATAGGGGCTATCGCAGAGAAGCAAGCAATGATCAATGAAACAATGATAGATTAATTGATTAGGGATATTGGGATATTAAGAACCATCTAGAACACAGATCACGAATATAAAACCATTCCACTTTCGAGGCTCCGGCTCCTTTGTTAATCTACCTAGTCGCTAAACTTTTGGTATGTCCCTAGGTGATTAAATCAAGCATTAGAATGAATAGGTTCTGATACAGTTCACTAGATATAGATAGATCAACTTTCGCAGTCTAAGAAACCTAGCTTGTCAAAGAATATGTCCGGCGAATGATACAACACTGTCGAGGCTCAAATCAACCTAAGATCGGATTACTAGATGCGCGGTAAAGCAATCAGCATTAGTTAAGTGCACAAGACGAGACAAAGACTCTAATATAATCCCTAGCTAATCATTGAAATCAAAGATCATGCAAGCAACTCATTGAATAGTAACCCTAGCAACCTAACTAGTGGATTACTCAGACATGATCAAAGCAAACACACATAGAGATGAAGAAAACATGATTGCAATAAAACTTAGAGTAGGAAATCGAAATACAAGGGCGGCTCTCTTTCTCAAGAGGCTAAAAATCCATATATATAGTGCTAGGTCTTTCTAGAGGCGGCTTAGGGTTAAGCCGGGCTTGAAAACATAAGTTTGGGCTTCAAAAAGGGCTTCGGGTCGACCGCGGCGTTGGGACGGTCGTCGGGACGATCGGCCGGACAATCGGGTCGTGGGCGAGTCGGAACGGTCGGGCCGGACGGATTCGCGGTCGGCCGGCGTGGTCGGAGCGGATGAGATTTGGCCGATGAAATTCTCGGCCGGACGTGGGACGTTCTTTCCCGGCTCGGACGGATGCATCGGCCGTGGTACGCGGAAGGTTGCGCGGCCGCGAGGCTTGTTTCCCGGCTCGCGCGCTTTGGTCGTGCGCGGTGTGGCGTGGAGCGTTGGCTTGGCCGACCGCGGGACAATGTTTCCCGGGTCGTGTTGCGTGATCGGCCGGTGGTTTGGACTTTGGCCGAGACTTCAGTCGGACGGATGTGATTTGGCCGAGCGCGGAACATTCGTTCCTCGGCCAGCCGGACTGCGCGGTTGGGCGCTGTTCTCGATAGAGCCGTCTGGACAGTCTTCACTCTTTTGGTTGTAACTCCTTTTCTACTCATCCAAATGAGGCCATTCCAGTTGCGTTGGAAAGTTAACTCAATCAGAGCACGCAGGGAACTGGTCTTGATGAAATCCATTGAGTAGATCTTTTTCTGGGCCCTCTTAAAGTTGGTGCTTGTGCATGGAGCGCTTGAAGTGCAAATCCTATGGTTTTGCTCCAAAATGCATCATTTCACCTGTTTAGACTCTAGACACTATAAACACAGTAAAACTACCTTTTTAGATAGAAAACCTGCCAAAAACCATTAGAAAACAATGCTAAAACAGTATAAAAAGTGGGTAAATTAGAGGTATATCAACTCCCCCAGACTTAGATCTTTGCTTGTCCCCAAGCAAAAAGAATCTAAATCCGTGAAAGAGGTTTGAAAACGTGGAAGCTCCCTTGCTCTTTTGAATATCCTGTGAAAGGTTCCTTTCCTGTATTCCACTATGAACATAGACAACATAAGGTTAGCTTCACATACACCCTGCAAGTTTAGCGAACAATACCAACCCAACTAGTCTCATCCAGCAATCCAAACTCTCTATTGCTAACCTCTTGCATAAATTTAAAGCGTGAATTCTTTATCAAGGGGACATCGATCAATTGAACTTGTTCTTACCCACTTGATCCTCTCCAAGATTGCCTCTTTAAGTGCAATGAGTTCTTTTCCTCTCTCTTTCTCACATCAGAACTTTGAAAGGTCAATTTCTCCCTACTTTTCTAGGGTATCATTTTATTTTTTCTATTGACCCTTCTTTCAACCACAGGATAAGTCTTTAGCTTGTTCCTTGTTTGACTAAGGTATTCCATAAGACATGAAGGTACAGACATATGCATTCCTCATGCTTACTTGTTTCCTTGTGCTCTTTGAGCTTTTTCTCATAATCACTTACCATTTGGGATGGGAGAGAGAGGAGAACTCTTTAAAGATTAGACAAATCTTATTGAAAATCAAGCAAGGAACTGTCGACATGTATGCCAACCCCCTTGACAAGAGTAATTAAGATTGATTAAGGTGAGGTTAACTCTAGATTGCTTGGTTACCTTAGAAATTTTGCTGAGCTAGCATGTCGATCCACTGTAAGAGCTTCTGTTAGGCTTGTGCCTTTAGCTGGTTTCTGCTCTAGGGTCATGGATTGTTAGCATAACACTCTCAATTCTCAAAGCAAGTTCATAACTTCCGGACTGGTTTTTGACTCAATAAAACTTTTTGAAAAACATGAAACAAAGTGAATAAAACATAAGAAAAGAAAGAAAAATGCATTAGTAACACAATAAAACTCCCCCCAGACTTAACTTGCACCGTCCCGGTGAAAGCAAATCACATTAAGGTGAGAGGTAATATTCAAAGTAAAAGAAAAATAAAGAAAAATTCATTAAAATGAGATAGGGATAGAAAATGGAGATTTGTAAGTGTCCATTGCACTAAGTACCACTTGAGATGACTATGTGTGGCAGTGAGAAGAACTCTCTTCCTCATCTATGGGGTCATCGCCTTCTGAACCAAGCTCTGAGTCTAGTGAGAACTCACCAAGGTCAGGCTCATATGGCTCTCTAGCGGTGGAAGAAGGGCGAAAGAGTCTCTCCGGTGCAATGTGGCGAACTACACGGACTAGGCGTGAGATGAAGCGAGATTGGCACTCCACGATCTTCTCCAGCTTGTTAACACGGTCTAGAGCTTGGTGCGCGCCATGCCAGTAGTGAGAACATGGCGTTCTTGGTGGCGGCGTTGAGTCTTGACTGCATGCTGAAGTGTGCGATAGGTGAGCATGGGGAATGATGGTTTCTCACTTGATGGAACATAGAAGTCTTCCTCATTGGGCTGGAAAGTGACAACTCCTGAGCGTAGGCTTGGGATGTCTCATGTGGCAGCAAGACAAGGGAAGTGTTGGCTGGACCAATTGGAAACTCATAGCAAAACCGAGTTGGGTCTTTAGTCCAACGGTTTAGGAAGTGGATGTGCTGAAGAGCATGGAGATCCAAAGGGGTTGGCTTGGGTAGTGGCTCATAGTTGGGAATGTCAATCCCCACATGCAGTACTATGGCCGTGATAAGCCTCCCAAAACGAACACAAAGCTTCTTGTTGCCTTCCAAGTCTTTAGCTAGCTTCCTCACATTGATGAATGTCTTGGCAAGTAAAAGTCCAAGGTTGGCCTTGTACTCATGCTTGATGAATGGTGTGGTGAGGATGTAGAACTCATCAGTTGTGACCTTGTTGGCTTCTTGTTTGCATTGGAAAGTGGTGGAGATGAGGCGGTGCACATAGCGAATGGCTGGATGAGTGATTCTAGACACCTTTGACCTTGAAGGCAAGAATGGTTCATTGGCAAAGTGTGTCCAATCAGCAAAGGCAGCTTGTTTCCTCTTTGAGTTCTCCTTGAAGTCATGTGCTGTCTCATTGGGAAGTCCAAAGAGTTGGCATAGAGCTGAGATGGAGATGCGCCCATTGGCATCGCCTATCTTGAAGAGTAGGAGTCCATCACCAGCTGGTTGGTCTCCATTGTGGTTGGGAAAGGCAAGAGCTACTGTGGAGAGGAACTCCTTGGTGAGTTGTGAGTACTCACTACACTCTAGCTTGAAGAGCTTGCTCAAGCCTAGCTTCCTTATGTACCATGTGACATCATCTCTTATCTTGAGAAGATCAAGGGTTTGGGTGTCCATCTTCACACATGGCTCGATGTTCACCTTCTCCATTGCCTTCTTACACTTTCTTGGGTCTTGGATTTGTTCTCCAACAAAGGTTACAAGTGCCCAATCATCTTCTCCTCTTCTTGGACTCTCCACATGTTCTTGACTTGCATCAATGGAATGTGGTGAAGTTGGTATTGCTGCTCTTGCATTGGAGCTACTACTCCCTAGCTTGATTTGCTTCTTTGGTGGTTCCATGAATGGGTTCTTCTTCTTCTTCATACTCTCATTTCCTTTTGTCTTTGCCATTGGGTACCTACAAGAGCAAATTCTTGGGAAGAAATATGAGTTTGTGATTAATGCAAAAGAAGAATAAGCTAATTGAGTTGTAATAATGATATGGAATAAAGGAACAACTCAAGGCTTAATCATGAATCAAAGAGACAAAATAGAAATTTCACTTTTTCAAATTAATTTTCGGATTTTACTGTTCATCTCAAGATTATGGTGCTTAAAATCAAAATTTTCAGCAAATCAAGAGAAATTGAGTTTCTAATCCAAGTAATCACTAGATAAACTAATGAATTGAAGTATGCCTAAGCAATTTCACCTTTGAATAAGGGGTTTGGAATGCCCAATAAGTTTTGTGAAAAACTATTCAATTGTGAAATTAAACTTAAATTAACTCTAAACCACCTAGGTTCCACCTAGCAAAGTTCATTACAAGACTAATAAGGATGCTAATTTCAAGTTTAGACAAGAGTTTAGACCAAACATGAAACTTATTGAAGATTTTCGATCTTGCATAAACATAGGATTAGAGTTAGAAGACATACCTTGTGTGTTGAAAAGTGAATAAGGTTGCAAGAGCAAGTAAATTCCAATTTAGAGTTATGAACAGTAAAAGTTTTGAAATCAAAACTCTTAGAGTTCCTCTAATGGAGTTTAGGGTTTTGGAGAAGAAAGAGAGGTTCTTGTGTTTTCAAGGGAAAGGTGAAGTAAATAAGATCTAAATCCTATCAATTTTCCTTTTCAAATTCGAATTTTGATTGAAAACCGGTTTAAGTTGGTTTAGATTGGTTAAAACCGGTTTGAATTAATGAAAAGGGGACTTACCTTGGCCTAGAAAAGTTTTGGGCCGATGGCCGATGGATTTTGTCGCGGTCGAGCGATTTGGTCGGCCAAATTCGTTTGGCCGAGAGAATTCGGCCGAGGCCGAGCGTATGTTTCCCGGATCGACCGGCACGGTCGGTCCGTTCCGATACGAAAATTTCGGCCGATCGCGGCCTATCTTTCCCGGTTCGTGTGTGCGCGCGAACGGTTTCTGTCGCGCAATGAGTGAATCCGGCCGAGCACGGCTTATTCCTTCCCGGCTCGACCGTAACGGTCGGCCAGATGAGAATTGCTCGGCCAAAATCCTTTGCGCGTCCGCGGCCAATGTTTTGGCGCGGATTGTGTTTTCACACCTTTTTCTCCTTCTATCCTATCTTAAAACAAAGAAAACACAAAAGCAAAACAAAAACTAAAAAATTAAAGAAAGAAAAGTAAAAGTACCTCATGGGTTGCCTCCCATGCAGCGCTTGTTTTAAGTCTTTAGCTTGACTGTAAGGCTTGGCGCTCAGGAGAAGATGGAGACAAGAGGCATCTTTGATCCTCCAAGTCTTTTCTCCTTGCAATGAGTATCTGGTGGGTGATTCACAGCTGGATAGACAATCTCTCCATGAATGTCCCTTGGCACTACTGCCTTAGGAAAAAGCTTTAGAGTTCTTGTCACTCTCTCCTTGAATCCTTCTAGATTCTCATCAATAAGCTCCTTGGGAATAGAAGCTTCATGTTGCGGCCAGACCTAGGTTTTCTAACCTCCCAAGAAAGAAAAGGTCCTTATTCTATATGAACATAACCTACTTTTCTTAAAATATACACAAGAATTATCACTTCTTTAACTGGACGGTGTGTTTCGATATTGCAGAGACTAACGGTGAAGTTTTTCCTACTTGTGGATGTGTTTGCGTTCGGCCTAATCTACGTCCTCACGTACTTTCTGTTTCATGGCAACAAACGTCTTCAAGTCCTTGGATACATTTGCATGGTCTTTGCTCTATCTGTTTTCGTTGCACCCCTTGGCATCATTGTAAGTCTCTCTTTGTTATTTACTTACCTATATAATTAGCCATTGAAAAATTTCTTCTAATCGGTTAAGGCTATCTTGAAAACACAGAGGAAAGTGATTAAAACGAAGAGTGCAGAGTTTATGCCGTTCGGTCTCTCCTTCTTCCTCACCTTATCGGCTGTCATGTGGTTCTTCTACGGTCTTCTCACGAAAGACCTCAACGTAGCCGTAAGTCTACTAATAGTCTTCATAGTTTTCATTTCGTGTTATGTTCGAGCTAACGCATAAAGCTAATGTTTTAACATGTTTTTCCAGCTGCCAAATGTTTTGGGTTTCATCTTTGGAGTGCTTCAAATGATACTTTACTTGATCTACAAGAAACCTGGGACGAAAGTTTTGGAGCCTCCAGGGATAAAGCTCCAGGACATAACTGAGCATGTTGTCGATGTCGTGAGGCTTAGTACGATGGTTTGCTCCTCACAGATGAGAACTTTGGTGCCACAGGACAGTGCCGACATGGAAGCGACCATTGCCCTTGATGAGAAGATCAAGGGAGACATTGAGAAAATTAAGGAGGAGAAAGAAGTCTTTCTTATTAATAAGAATTAATTAGATCTTTGCTATCAAATGTCTGTGTGTGTGTTTCTATCTTAGTTTGCTTGCATGCTAAATTAGGGTTTATGTTTAATATGGGTTTGATTTGTCATCGTGCATCTCTCCGTCTGTCCTATGTGATATCTCTGGCTCTCTCTCTCTCTCTGATCTCGAATGTAAGATATGTCTTTTCAAATTAAATAAATGAATATCACGTTTGTCTTTTATGAATGTAGTAAAAAAAACTGAATATCACGTTTGTCTATAATGAATGTATCGTGTAAAATTTTACTTTGTATGTGTACACAAAGGTTGACATGAATTTGTTTACTGGGTCATAACATCAATTTAGATATTAAATATCATATAATGTATACAAATTTGGATATTAGACTATTGAAAAATTAGCAGTTTATTTAATATAGTCGTAACTTTACCTTTTATTCCACATGAGATGTTGGCCAGATCTTTTACGATTTACTCTTATAGTCTTATTGTTGAAGTTGGTTCTACAAAAAGGCTCAAATAAATGGATTTTAAGGAGATCACTCTACTAATTAGGAGGAGTAATTACTAGCCAGGTTTTCAACGTGCTCATTTTAAGAGGAAACTTTTTCGAATTCAGTTCCTTCAGCTATTTATACATTTCACTATTTATCGCCAAACTTGACACAACTGTTCCTATTAAATAAAAATTTATCTCTAACCAAGAAATCACGAATCCAGCCTCGTTTGGTGATATTTATAATGACTGCAAAAACCGCTTCTTTGGTACTTCGGTTTGTATACAAACATCATGACTATAAATCCAAATTATTTTTTTGTCATCAAGAAAAATATGCATCGTTCTGCTTCAGCTGCTTGTTTCAATTCAAGTCTTAACTTCCCACTTCCTTTTACTGTTTTCTCTTTTGCAAGTAACATGATCTATATATGCTCATCTAAGTCAGTTTGCAAAAGTCTAATTTGGTGATATATATATATACGAAATCCAAAAGTTTCAAAACAGAGCTAGTTAGATTTAACGAGGATTGGCATGCGTAACCAAATCCAAAAGTTTCAAAACATTAAAACAAAACCCATTAACCTCACTCAATCACTCTACAGCAAATATCATCCTACTTCTTTCTACTAACTCTGGTGTTATAGCCAAAGCAAAAGCCTATGTCAACACAACTCTCAATATTAGCTTCCGAACTCTAACGCCTTTA